GAGCGGGTGGATTCGCGTCCGCCTGGCACTCCAGCTCCACCACATCGCCGTAGGAGGCGGCCACCGTGGATTGTACAGTGTCTCGGATGACTGGCCCATCTGTAGGCAGGAAGAGGCGAGGATGAGACAAGCAATGCGACCAGCATGGCAGACGGTTAATGAGCATTTCCTCTTTGCTGCCTCGGCAAAGAGGCTGCCGAGACGGCTGGTGGTCAGATAAATACAACCTTTTCCCACAAATGTCTACCCAAATTAAGTTATTCGTTTGTCATTGTGTTCCCAATAGGTCCCAATCTCTCTCCGGTGCCTTGAAATGAATTGCAACTTTGCGTTTTCCATCCTTCACTAAACTTGTTGACGTCTTTTTATAAGCAAACATGCACTTGCGGCTCTACAGCTCAACTGGCAATGCTAATAATGAGAAGAGTACAGGAAAGTAGAGGTGAGTGAGTAGCGATGTGTTTTTGTCTTGTACAAGTGGTGGTAGAACTGGGCGCTATAAAAATGGAAGTGACAGACTCGTGGATTTAGCTATTTAAGTGTAGTCTGCCAGTTTGGGACTTGAAAAACTTCTGGTCCACAACTCACGAGTAAGTGCTTTTCTGGATGATCAGTCGAGAACAGGCCTGGTACATTGCTGCTTCGCATTGCTGGTTCTTGCGTGGAATGCGTGGGAAATGATAGTAAAGTTTACCTAAATTGCAATAGTGAAAGCATACAATTCTGTTTGGAGGCATTTTTCAACAAAATTTCTCATAATCTCACCTTTTCCTGGCTTGCTTAAATCAAATAAAATGAGGCGATATCACATCGAAATCGGGAACATTTCATATCGGACCTATAGAGTGGAGTGATCCTGCACTGCGTCGAAATAGACTTTGTTTTATATCAGTTTCCGAGTGCATGTTTCATGATGGAATAACGAATCGGAAAATTTATGTGTAGATCAAATATTCTAAAGGTAGATAGGATAAATATGGCAAAACGGATAGCCATAAGTGGATAGATAGGGAGACAATGAGAGAGATGAGTAAAACTTTATTGAATAATAGACATT